TCCTCTCCTCTCCTCTCCTCTCCTCTCCGTATACAATTTCTTCTTGCTCTTCTGTCAAACTAAACAAGACCAGGGCTGTTATATGAAACAGCAAATCTCTGCTGGAGAAGAAGAAATGTGATCATCAAAGGATGCCGGAGAAACCTCCTTGTTTTCAGATGGAAAACAGGGATCCATTCTTGGTATGTTACTACTCTGGTATATGCCAGTCCTCTTCTGGCTGTGTCCCATCCATAAAAGAGCCTGAGGAGACTTCCCAAGCACAGGAGGAGGGTAACTAGTTTACAGCCACCACTCCCAGTCACACAACTATCACATGCTTTTTTCCAAGATAACTTCCCAACTGTGGTCTCTTTCTCCAGCTTGACCTTTAGGAGCTTGCTCAAAAGTCAGAGCTGTGCTTAACTGATTTTCTGTGTTGTCAATGTAGGGGAGACATGTGAAAGCCAGTGGAAGGCCTGTATCCGGCACTACCCTGCTCCCTGGGCAGAACTCGCTGTTGAGAACCTCATCCTGACGGTGCCATCTGACAGCATCCGCCACATGGAGAACCCACGGCCGCTGCTGACCCTGTGGAATGAGATCATGGTGGCAATAAGCAAATTGGCAGCCATACCAACAAAATTCCCAAGGCCAGAGAGGATTGTAACAGATGTCCAAATCTCATATGGTAGGTACATTGCCATATGGCTGCCTTGAGGGGCTACAAGACAAATGGCCTCTAGCAGCAATGTCTGTTCCTTCAAGGTTATTTTGCTAAAACCAGACTGAGAACATACGTAAGCTGTCAAATGACTGTGACCCTTGCATAACTGTGAGCTACTCCATCAGGATGGAAGCATGGTAAGGCAGGGCTTAAAAAAAACATATTGACCCTTTCAGATGCCTCCTGGCTTCCAAACCTGGTGTTGTCTCACTTAGCTGTTCTGCTGCCTGGCTGTGGTAAGAGGCAGAGCTGCTGACTGCAGCAGCTTTGACTCACGTGTAGTGAGTTAAATTCTGGTTAAATTAATCATCCCACAATGAGACAACAGCTTGGCATGAACCCTGTTGTCCTAACCCTTTGCTAAGCCACATGGAAAGAATTTGTTGCACATCTTGGGAGTGTTAAGTTCTGCTATCCTGAGCAAATGCCAGTTAAAAAGATCATAGTCTGCAGGCACAAAATTCCCTCCTGTTTTGGATGGGCTAAACGGTTTGACTCACATTTCTGGACCTGAACTTTTTGGGTGCCAATGGCTGCTAAATGCATGCATCCCTCTTATTAAAAAAGAGGGACCTCAAGATCTTAAATAGTTCCTGCAGGAAAGGGGTTGCCACTCATGTTCTCCACCTTGGGTAGTGTACAAGCGTAGTGTTCAGCCAAAGCCAGCTGCATAGGCTCTCTATATAGTGAGTGTAGAGGGCTGCTTATCCCCTCCTACAATAGGTGTTTAAGTTCAGGGAGGTGACTCTTGTATGAAGCTTTGGGAATCTTCAAGAAGAAGGACAGACCAGGGATGAAGACACCAAGAAGACATAGGTAAAATCCCTTGTAGTGCAGGGTTCTTACCTAGCATGTTGCTGGGAAGTTGTTTATATTATAGCCATTAACCTGTGAGGCTAAGAACAGACTTAAACATGACAAGCTTTGCAGCCCTTAAGCATGACTAACTGTGACTTCCATGTGTCTCATCCACACTGCTGACTACTGGAGTGCAGAGCTGCAGTATCCACACTCTACATAGGAAGACTCAAGCTCTGCCAGGGTGCTGAATCACATTATTGCATGATTGGGTTGGTGTCAGCTGTGCTCAGTTGGTGACAGTTCAGGTGTGTTCTGGGCAATGGTCAGGCTTTTTCCCTCATCCTAAATTCTCAACCTCAGTCCAACTGTGAGTACATGCCTACGTGTAAAAATGGAAAGCAGGAGAAACTGTGCTTAACTGATAGTTCAGTACTACCTTTACATTGCTCATTTGACTGTTCCTTAGGGTAAAACTTAGAATCATAGAATCATAATTGTTGGAAAAGACTTCTAAGATCATTAAATCCAATCATCAACCCGACACCACCATGCCCACTAAACGATGTCCTGAAGTGCCGTGTCTACACATTTTTTTGAACACCTCTAGGAATGGTGACTCCACCACTTCCCTGGGCAGCCTGTTCCAATGCTTGAGTACTCCTCCAGTAAATAATTTTTTCCTAATATCCAATCTTAACCTCCCCTGGTGCAACTTGAGGCCAAACTTGTAGTATTTTCTTATCTCACAAAGGGAAAAATTTGTCATTCATGGTAATACAGTGTGGTTTGTGAGATGGAGAAAAGGCACTAGAGAAATGAAAAAAAAGGAAATATTGTCATTTCCATCTAAGAGGCACTGGGGTGAGCACTTATGTGTTGGTCTTGATGATCTTAAAGGTCTTTTCCAACCACTATGATTCTGTGATTCAGTGTTGGTACCTGTCTTTCCTGCAGGCTGGATGCATGCTGGCTACCCCATCATGGGCCATGTAGATTCACTGAAGGAGATGTTAGATATAAAGCACATGCAAACTACTGGTCTTTGGGGTCCTGTCCATGAGCTGGGACACAATCAACAGCAGCAAGCATGGGAGTTTCCCCCGCATACCACAGAGGCCACCTGCAACCTCTGGTCTGTCTATGTTCATGAGGAGGTGCTGGGGATTCCCAGGCATCAGGCCCATCAGGCGCTTAAGTCACACTGTCGGAAGGAAAGGATAAGACAGTATCTGAAGAAAGGTGCTCAACTAAAGGACTGGGAGATGTGGACTGCTCTGGAGACGTACCTGCAGGTAATGGGGGAAAGTGGGTGCATTCTTAGTGCAGCCAGTGAAAACTGTGTCAGAAGGATGTCTACAGCCTGGTGACTGTAGCTGTCATGCCTTTTGAGTGTTTGCTTATATTCTGAATTCATCTTGGGCCCAGAAAGCACCTGAGAGGTATACAGATAGAGTGTCTTCTTGTTATAGAGCATGGGACAATGACAATCAAACTTGGGCACAGCTCTTTAATCTGCTGCAGATTTCCCGTAGGACATTGGGATAGTTGGCAAAAAAAACCCCTTGGCATTGTAAAGTGTCTAGAAGAGTCAAATGTCTAGCAGTATCCTGGTGAGTTACCTGGCTAGACTCCTCTTTACGAAACAAGAGCAGGGTGTTTGTATCAGCAGATGCGCTGAGTGGAGCCAGTGTAGTCCATCAGGTGGCAAAGGGACAGGTTCATCTTATGCTCCTGCACATGTCACTGGATCCCTCACTGGTCTAGACTCTGAGTCATGAACCCTGTCCTAGATTAAAGTGCATTCTTTTGGGAAGCATGCAAGAGAGATTTTTCCCTTCCTCCTTTCCCTCAAGCCGTGTAGCAACCAGCAGCCTAATGGAGAGAGCCCTCAACATGATTTAACTGGGGACTTTGAGGTGAATGTCCATTAGAATGGCCTGAGCTACTGACTGTTGTGGGGTGAGTGTCCCTCAGCCCCCTTGTGTGGGACCTCTCACTTCTTATGTGAACAACAAAATATTTATTGGAGGAGTAT